TCCCTATCCAAGTAAATGCTATTTCTCAGAACAGTGGCTTATAAAAAAAAGAACATTTATAAACCGTGACATTATTTTTTAAACATGAGTTGTTTTACAAAACGTAGTAACTTTACTTTCCCTATATGCAAATATTCATTCATTTCTCTCATTATGCGAAATTTGACAAAAATTTCTTACATTAAGAAATCGTAATTAATTGCAAAGTTTTTGACAATGCCTTTGGCCTAAGTTATGTAACATTTCTGCTAATTAATTGCTATCGTCTTTTGATTTCAATTCCCTATGGACTAACTATTATTATTAATAGTGTACCTAACACGGACAAGCAATAAGTGTGTGTAAATAAAATTAATGTAAATTTCAATTCAAAATGCGAACAAAGACAGGAAAAAATCTACCTTTTTTTTTTTTTATATTAGAAGACAGGCCGATATTGTTCTGTTAATAATAGAAAAATAGATAAATTAAGATTATGTCTGTAATATATTAACAACAAGAGACACGAACAATGAAACTTAAATAGAGGAAGAAGAAGAATTTGTATGGATTTTTTACAAACAAATGCGATAAAAAGAAGTCAAAGAAGATATCATGCTGCTGCAAGAGCAGCTTTTCTCAATTGACTTCATTTGACATTCTCTTACCCTCATGCATTCTAGTAGATATTGAAGATAGCATCACCATTACTGATTTAACAATAGAGGAAAAAGCAAACATTCCATAGCTTAAGTGAGGGTATGTTGAGTCGCAAATAAAGTAATTTTAAATAGAATTGCACGGGTAGTCAATAAATCAAAAATTCACTTTTATGAAAATCATTCGCGCTGGGGGATAAAATCTAACTTTTGTCGATGAAGGGTGTATTCGAAAACAATTTGGGTCCGTTTCATTTACTGATTAAATTTATGCAATTCGTCTAATAAAGTTGTCGAAGGTTGAAATTTTCCTCTCATCATTGGTGTGTTCTAGGCTTGCCCGTCCTACATCGGAACTTTGTCTTCGTCTTTCCTTGCTGCAAGAAATAGCATAACCTTCCAAATCCTACAAGTACACACATCATAATGAATTTAATTTAGTTTCTTAATTCCATGGATTACGTGGATTTATAATATGAGTTTCCATAAGTTACGTAACGTAACGTAAGAGAAAATCTAATTCAATTCAATTTTTACTTCGGCTATCAGCGCAAACGTCATTGCTATCGAAAACTGTATAATAAAACTAGCAGGGAAAACTGGGCGGTTCTGTCCCCCCTAACTTATTGACTTTCCATTTGACAGTAATTATTTTCGCGATTCTATAATGAGCAGTAGGCAAAAAGTCATACATCTCGACCAGTTATTTTAATCTAACTATTTCCCAGTGGCCTATTACCTGCCGGAGCTCTTTTAGAAGTTTGCTTTTACGGATTGCTGTGGTTGTAATTTTACTGATAAACGTTGCTACTCGTGCAGTGGTTAGATCCGGAAAGAAGAGGAAATGCAATCTTTTCCGCTGCACCTCGATTTGAACTCAATTGGGTTTGCCAATCAGTGAACAATTACTTTCGAAGCCAGCTGACAAGATTTGTAACTTGGCCCTCAAATTGGAAGACTAGTATTTGCCAGAGATAACGCCCAATTCTTAATGGAATTACGTAACGAAACAAATAAACTTACCAACGTGTTTTAAGCGTCTTAGCTTCCTATTACGTTCTTGTACCAGCGGCTTAAGCCGAGTAATGGCAATGGTCATGCTATAGTTTGGTATGCCTTAGGGCAATGGACGGCATTGTAAATAAGGAAGATTATTTAAGGATATTGAGGACAAATTAGGAAGAAACTGCAGACAAACTTGGTATTTTATGTCAAGGCAACGACTTCAAGCCTAAGTCCCGCTTAATTCAAGAATGACTCTTATATAACTGCTCCAAAGTGCTTCATGCTCTTCCCCAATAATCAAGCATGAATCCCATCAAAAATACTTGGGATGAATTAGACGGCCGTATGCGAAAGTTCCTAATCTCTGCCATTCAAGATGTGAAATATAGGCTATAAGAAGAATGGAGCAGGATCTTTGTTTCCTACACAAAATATATCAAAACATTTAAATGGCGTTATTAAGCAAAAAAAATACCCCACCAAGTATTTATTTTTAATAATATTCCCTTTTTTTTCTTTGTGGTCCAATATTAACGGCTCTATGTTCTTGAACTTCTTGAATTTATTTAATTCTCTTGTCTAGCGGAATAATGTTTTGCTTGTATTTTTGTTTTTATAATTTAATATGTATTCCCTATTAGTACAAGGGACCTGTTAAATCTTACAATCGTTTACTTGTTGTCGAGCGAAAAAACTCAATATTAATGAGACTCGCTGTACATATAAAACAGTCAAGTCTAGACGAGCGGTATTTAGCTATTTGAAAAGTCAACCTAAGTCATAGCTAAGAACACTTAACATAACGCACTTGAAATTTGGTTTTCACAAGTTAAATACCATACAAATTTCTAGCATGTAACGCTGATGATTGATTTGTGATAAAAGCCTTCTCTAATTTTCGATAATTATTTCGTTTATTTGTTCTTATCTGGCTTGTCCGTACGCTTTATAGGTGAAATACAGTGCAAAGGTTGTGAACGAAAATTTAACTTTTTGCTTTAATCTTATTGAGTTAGTCGCATGAACGTACGGACTACCCACGTTAAGCAATATCGCATAATGTGATCGCACAATACTTATTCCCAAAAAATAATTAAATTCTTACATTTCGATATCGGGTATAAAAATTTTCTTTTTTTTTTTTTTTTTTAAGAAAAGGCTTTCGTTTTCAATGCAATGACACAAAAAAAAAAAAACACACACACAGGAATCATGAAATTGAAGCAATTAATTATTTGTGCATTTGTTATTGATTTTCCATTTGATTACAAATCGGTACGTTTTCATGCTTATCGCAAAATGTCTAGACGTTCGAATGGTCATTGTATAGATAGCGAGCAAGTTTAGTATTTTTGCGTCTGAGTGTATTCATGGGTCATTATATATGAAAAGAGAGAAAAGCAATGACCACACTTCAGTCACTATCTCTAATTGA